TTATATTTAGGAAACTTTAGATACTAAGGATTTCAACAATTACTAATCATCTGGATTTTAGGACTTTTGATTTGTTTTGGATTCACTTTCCGCTTATTCGTGGTTAAATTTATCTGGTATGGTATTCTAGAGGTATGTATTACAATTCAATTTATGTTAATGATTTATTACTTTATTATGCTCATATTTGTTATATTAATTAAACTGTATTATCTAATGTAGTTATTGTATGATAATAAACTTTCCCAAGATAAGTTTTAAATAATTATCCCAAAGTCAAATCATTTTTAAACGCTATTATAATTAACCAAAATTTCTATCACTTTTTCTTTTTACAAAGTTGGATAACTGTTCGCTTCTAATGATTTCTAAATCTTATAACTATTCAATTTCTATTTAGGAACCTTTAGATGTAAATCTAAATTATACCTAACAAATAATCTAACTGTTTTGGGTCAAAATAAATATGATGGAAAGTATAGTACTCTGTGATTGATTGAAATCTTTAAGATACAACAAGCTTTATGATTTCTAATAACTTTTGAATGGTATGTGCATTTATTGGTAATCTCTTGCTTTAGAAGGTATGTATTACAATTAATTTACTTATTTTAATACTATTTCATTTTTGTTATACCTTTAGATTACGTTGGAGAGAATTCCTAATTGTAGTTTGTAGACGATAATAATTTGATATTATTATGTAGCTCATACCAGTCCAACCAAAGCTACAGCATAACGACCTTGGTTGAAGCGTTTAAGCTCATATAAACTAATTACGTAAATGGTGTAACCAAGTAATTTGTTCTATGGATAAATTTTTTAGGCGCCTCTAAATTCTTTTTTAGAAATTTTTCATTCATATTTTAAATTTGATCTTCTTATTAGTTCCAATAAACAAGCATCAGTGTTTAATCATCTGTTGATTTATATTTGGATTGGTTATGGTATTTGTTGGCTTCTTCAAAATCAAACTATCTCTATTTAGGAATCTTTAGATTTACATTCATTTGAAGCTAAATCTTAACTAACATGTATTGTGTAAGCGGCAAAATTTTAGTTCACTCTGAATTGTTTATCCAATATTTTTTTGACACTGGTAAGGTTTAGAAAGGTATGTATTACGATTGATTTACTTGTACTATTACTTTATTAAATTCATATTTGTTATATCTTTATATTATTCATTAAGCTTATTATAGTTTGTAGATTATGTAAAGTTAACTAATGGTGCAGACAAACTATAAAACACTTTTTATAATATTTTATCAAATAATTTTATCTCTTCTTTTAAATGATATCAACATCATCCTTAAAGTTCCAGGATATAGAAAGAAGTTAAATATACCTTTCTTGTTATATCACAACATTATCATTTGGATAACTGAAACCTATTTCTATTTAGGAATCCTTTTTTAGTTTTCATTTTAGATCAGCATAATTGATATTGGATTAATTGGGAAACTGTGTCATTTATAATTAATAACTTTATTGAGTTATTTAGGCTAATTTAATTTGATCATAAATCATCTAGGTTATTGGTTAAACTTCTTTTTTGAAAGTCCATTTTTTGTTTTCTTGACCGTTAGAATTAGGCAGTACGTATTACAATTGATTTAGTTATATTATTAACTTTATTATACCCATATTCGTTATATCCTTAAATTATTTTCATAGAGTTTCTTAGTGTAGTGTTTATGTTAGTAATTAACTTATTTCAGACTGAACTGGGATATCATATAATGATCTTGTTTGAACTAGTTAAAGCTCATATAGAATAATTTGGTATAACTAAGCTATAAAATTTAAACGCCATAAATATAAATATTTATAATTTTAAAAAAAGTTTTAATATTTCTTTGGAATGTTTTCATCATCTTGGTTTGTTAGCTTCTCTTATTGTTAATGAATTCTGGTGGAATGATTGATACAAACGAAACTATCTATTTAGGAACCATTAGATTAACTTTCATTTAGATCCATTTTTTAATGAAATATCTTAGGGCTGTATATCTACTTGAACAAGGCATGTATTACAATTGATTTACATAGTAAAATTATACTCATATTTGTTATATCGTTATATTACCCGAATACCTCTCATTCTAGTAGTTTATAACACCAATTTATCTTAACCATGATTTCTTACTCGCCACATGGTCAAACACCCCATACTTTGTTGCAAAAATGTAACCAAGTTGATAAGCTAAGATCAGAAGAGAGAATTAAGCTTTTATTATTACAAGCAATTTTAAAGTAAGCGGCTAAACATTCATTGATATCAATCAAGCATCAAGACTCTACTGATAAGAAAGAATCGATTGGTCAGTCATTTGAAATTAAATCCTGTGAATATTGACATTTCTTGAAGGATTAGCGTTATAATAAAACAACGTTTTCTTTCACATTATTCAAGGGTCCTGTTAACTCATTGACAACCTTATTGTCAATTGAACCTACAAAACTTATCCTTAGTTAACTAAAAATTTGAATCAAGATATAGTGGTTCAATAATATCAATTTGTTTTCTTGAACTATTTTTTTTTTTTTGGTTTATTTCGAATAACCGTTGGTACCCTGATTGGATTGGACTGGATCTCAGATTCTGATATTTGTTTAAACCAAGCAGACCGGGTAAGTATTACGATTCTTGCATATATACATACGTCCATTATTTTCATTTTTCGTTTTAATAACGCCCATTCGGTATTTGTAATGTATAACACACAAATAAAATAATTTATGAACTAATAATATCGGATAAACCTGGATTAACTTAAATTAAATTAAATTAAATTAAATTATCAGGTGAATAAGAGTGACAAAAGTCTAGAAGGGAATATACGTAATCGTAATCATAAACCCTAAAGTCAAAGGGAACACAACTATAGAGAAGGGAATGAAATGCAATAGATGAATAAAATTTAAATCGATACATATAACCGAACTAAAAATAATTCATTCATAATTATTTCTTAGCTCATTTTAAGGACAAGATAATTTAAAATTAGCTGGTTTAAGAAAAATTCTATTGTTATTTAGAGTGTCTATTGTAGACTGAATGGAAGTATAGAAGGAAATACACGTAGTTTATTGTACAAAATTAGAATGATGCATTACTTATGGTCTGATAATCACAGATACTACAAAGACGCTTAATTTGGCATGGATTGTAGTTGATTCTCATCTCATCTCATCTTATCCCATCTATGATGTAGAGTTATGAAGAGATTTCTTGAGGATATGAGAGGGTTAGAGGGAATCGATGGGATATTAGACAAAGTTATGTCTTGGAAATATAGGAGTATGTAGTAAGTCAACATTCCTACAATTTAAGGTGGATATATAAATCAACTACATGAAATTTTCATTATCATTGACAGATTAGTAACAAGTTTTTTTTTTTGCGTTTTTGAGGTGAAAAATAACATGAAAATTATTTTTATTCAGGGTTTATTTAGAGATTAAGTTTGCTGATGTAGTTTAAAATTTTATTTTTATGAGGAGGAGACGAGATGTAAAAAGTTATGGGTGAATAATTTCAAATGGGTATGAACTATGCATATGGGTTTATAACAAGAAGAAGAAATTGAAAAGAAAAAAAATTCATCATTAATAAGGCATTTCATTTGGTTTATTATGAATTGATTGGCGCTGAGTTGAATTATTATTTAGTAAAAATAATAACTGCAATAATAAGAGATAGAAAATCCCATATGTCAAATGAAAGGAAAGGAAAGTAGTCAACCGACAAATGACAGTAGATTGTACTAATTGAACGGAATGTTTAACCAATCAAGTAAATGATTGAATTCAAGACATTTTTAAATAGTTGAAATTATCTTGGAAGTCGTTGGTTGATTTACAATTTTAAAAGCGGATTGGATTATTACTGTTATAGTTACTTACTGTATATGTAGATGATGATTGAGATGAGTGACAAGAAAAATTTAAACAGGTAGTATTAAAAATAAAGAATTGAATCTATCATATATAAGTTAAAAGCTTGTGGAGTGGTTAAATCATTGTACAAAGCAGATGAAGGAAAAAAAGTGCAGGTCGTGTACAGGAAATGGAAGAATAAACTCAACTGATGTTGCAATAATTAGTTAATAATGTACGGTTAAATGTACTTGTATAATTAAAAAATAATAGACAAAGAGAACATGAGGAGGAGAAGGAGGCGTAAATTGGCAAGGTGGCATAAAGCAGACAAATAAAGAAAAAGTAAGTAAGGAAGTAGGAATGAATGAAAGAAGGAAGGAAGGAAGGAAGGAAGGAACGGACAAGAAAGAATTCGTAAGTAATGGCAAATTAGATAGGAGTAAATAAGAAATATTGGATGTAGCAGGGAAGGGGTAGTTAAGTAAATTAAGGATAGGATAGGATAGGATAGGGATAAGAAAAGTAGTAAAGGTTAACCAAGAGTGAAATACGAATAAATGATTGTGGTAAATTTAAATTTCATGGATAGATAGATAGATACACACAGATAGATATAGACATACACATTTAGAATATGACAAGATACGAACTATTATTATTATTATTATGTCATAACCATTTGATATTATTTGCCGTTTAGGGTGGAAGTTTATGTGAGAGAATGTGTTAAATGTATGTGGAGTCAAAGTTTAAATAATAATTATTAAACCATGATTGAATCATTACGAAGTCTTTCATCATAGTATTGTCGTCTTTGATCTAGATCAGTTGGTGGTAGAAAAAGAAATTATTTACACAAAGACCTGAAATTACAAAAACAAAAGAAACAAAAAAAAAAAAAAAAAAAATGGTTAAAAATAAAATAAATTACACAAACTGTTTTGAAACACACCTTTTAAGAAATTATTTTTACATGACGATCAATTTGAGCAAAAGTACACGACCTTCCATAAAGTGAGCAAATTTTGTTTCTGCTTCTCCTCGTTTCTAGAAATATAAATATGGTTTGATTTGACCGTCATTTTTATAATTGTTATTTACAACCTTTTTCCAAATCAATCAATCAATCGATCAATCAATCAACATAGGTTGTACATACTACTACTGCTACTCAGGATAAGTATTACATCTAACCTCCCCCTCTCTATTCAGTTTATTCATTCTTCCAAGTTTCTTCTATCTTATATCTCATAAACAACACGTTGTCTACACCCATATAGATAGATCCCATACTTACACCTCCCCACCTCCTTCTTCATCTAATCAACTTCTGATCAATCAATCAATCCAAACAATCAAATCAAATCAATCACCATCATCATCATGTCTGCTTCTGATTTAGTCTCTGCTTCTAACGTTAGTACTCCTTCCAGTACTTCCATACCTACTGATCTTAACTTTAAGTCAACTTACCTCCAAGAAAAAGAGCTAAAACTAAAGAAGAAAAAGAACAACGTCGTGTCGAACGTATATTAAGAAATAGAAGAGCTGCCCATGCTTCTCGTGAAAAAAAGAGAAAACATGTGGAATATTTAGAATCTTATGTTTTAAAATTAGAATCTAATTTAAAATCTTTATCATCAAATTTTGATTCTGTATCAAATTTATTATCTAGTAATCAATTAAATCAATTAAATTTAATTGAATTAGAAAATATAAATGATTTAAAAGAAAAAATTCATCAAAATTTAAATAGTTCATGCTTCATTCAATAATAATAGTTCTAACAAGAGAAAAAGTTCAACTGGTGATGATGATTTTGAAGAAGATTATGAAGAAGAAGAAGAAGAAGATTGTGATGATGCATCAAATGTTTCGTCTTCAACTCCTTCATCTACTACTAGTCCATCTATTCAACAACAACAACCTTTGAAGAAAATAAAACTTGAACAAGAACAAACTGAAATTAAAATAAAACAAGAGGTTGATTCAAATTCTATTGATGCTATTACCACTGCTATTCTGGTTCTTCTAATACTACCACTTCTACTACTGGTGAAATAATTATTATAATTATTATCTCCTGTATCAATGAATTCTCCTATGAATTCCCCAATAGATTTAACTTTATCTAAACAAAACAACAACAAAACAATATCATCAACATCATCAACATCAACATCAACAATTCCAATATCATCATACTACCACCACTACTACCAAACAATTTGATTCTAATATGTCTTTGACTTCTGCTTACGAAATGGGGCAAAATTCAGAAGTAATTTTGTCATCATTGTCGTTATCTTCATCTTTACCATCTGGTTCAATTATCGTTGGCAAACATAATTCAAATATAAAGATTTATTAATAAATAAATGTGTACACAAATACTTAAAAAAGAACAAACTCATTCAAAATATTAACTACTGTTGTTTACTTTATAAAACCATACTTACCATTAATAATAACGAGCATTTTCCGACATCGACTATTAATGCTTTGGTTTAATTGTTTCAACATAATATTTTATCAACCTGTTTTTTAATGACAAATATCTTTTCTTTGTCTTTTTGTTTTGTTACACGAATATTTATTTCATTAATAGATTTTATAAGAATCTTTTTTTTAAATCTTGATTTATTTGTTTTATAATTATATTATTCCATACTTGAAAGTTCTCTGCTTGTCTCCCAAAGTTGTTTTAAATAACAATCAACATTCAACAAGAAAATTAAATAAAAAGGTTCAAGGTTTAAGAAAGTTAATACCTACCATTACCAACCTACCCTTATTTTTATCTTACCCAGTATCATACCATATCATACATTTTTTGAAGAAGAAAATAATTATCATTTTTAATTATAATTATAGTCTCTTAGGGATGTATATTAATTTATTTATATTAGCCAGGAGGTTAATTGTAATAAATTAATATACGTGGAAATTCCTTTTATGATTCTATTAATTATTAATTAACTTGATTCTTTATGTATATGGTTGGGAAAAGATATCCTTGAGACTACCTTTTTAATTTATCATTATTTCTTTGTTATTGTCTTGTCTTTGGTGATTGATTTATAGCATTGAAGTAACTTTTTTAATTATGAATATTTTAGAAAACTTTTAACAAGTCTTTAGTTTTTGAAGAAGAGATTATTTATAAGTTTTTATGTTTGTCAATTATTGTTTTCCACGTATATCTAACTAATTGAATTCCAACTGTGTGTTTAAACGAAGAAGATTTCGATCATTGGTCTGCAGCACCACTCGTACCAGATTTCATTGAATCATTAGAATCAAATTTAAATTCCCCTATGATTGATTCCAAATCAATCGATGATTTATTCTTATTCACCAATATTAATACCAATCATCAACCTTTAACTTCTCATCATGATACCATGGTATCTAATGGAGCTGAAGATTTTTTTAAATATGGATGAATTTTTCTCATTCTAGAATTTTTATCATTTGTTTGTTTTTGTTTATTTGTTGTATATTAGTTTGGGTTTTGTTTTGTTATGTTGGTCTGATTTTTTTTATCAGTTTTTGGGCTTGCTTTTTATTATGTTTATTTGTGATATCTTTAATCTTAATTCTGTTTTATATTTGGTTCCATTTGATATCCTTACACTTGTTAGAGAAATTATACTTTGTTATATTATTAATTTAAAAAAATTAAAAAAATTAAAAAAAAAATTAAAAAAAAAACTCCATAAAAAACAAAGCTAGTTTTTAAAAATATCATCATCATTATTATCATTATATCCAATTCATTTTATATTATAGTTTCTACAATTTCATCAAGCATTATCAATTATCATCAGTCAATTTACTGATATTTAATGATCCGAAGTATGAGATTAGTTTATAAGGCGCTCCATTAAGTTGTTGATGCGACTTTAATCGTTCTGAATACGTTTTATTACGATATGATTTTAGATTTTGATTTGATTTTAGTCTTTTGGATACGTGGTGATTTAGTTTATGATTTGTGAGTTTTTGAAGTTATGGATTTTGATTTGAATGGGTTTGATGACCGTTTATTTTGGAGTAAGTTTTAAAAAAATGTTGGTTTTCATCTTTCGATTGTTTGTTACCTGGTGTATATAATGTTATATAAATTCCAATTAGAAGTTTAAAATTATAAATAAATAAAAATTCTTTAGTATATTAAAATTGTCTTACTAGTAGTTTTCAGTAGTTTCCAAGAGTTGAGTTTCATGATACTTTATAAATACGCGCAAGTAGAAAATTACACGTTATTATAAATTTCAACTAACTAACAACCATTATATTACAACAACTATCACCAACAATGCCACCACAGATTGTGTTTCTTAAAGTATCCAAATCGCAATCAATCCCATTAAAGATCTTTATAAACAAATCAAATCACGTAAGTCCCAACTCAACCCAAACGACCACCACAACTAAAAGTCTTGCTATAAATGCCAAATCATTAATCACTCTCCAAAACGTCCCTATAAATTACTTCCATATCCGATTGAGTAATAATTATTTACAAAGTTTGATTGAGACTCAGATCCGGGATGTGTTTGTTAAAGTATTGTTTGAAATGGGGTTGGATCAAGTATGTAGTGTTGGGATAAGTGGGAAAGTTAGTATTAGTTCTATACTTCGATTTAATTCTACATCAGCTGTATTCACCAATCCATTAGAGACAAGTAATACGACAGAGAAGGGGGAGAAGAAAGTACGGTATAAATTCACCATACCATTATTGTTGATCATCAGTCTTCGGATTCATTTTAATAAATTATCAAAGGGGGATATCACCTATTTGCATGGTATTAATATTTTATCTTCCACCAATCCTTCGTTCAAGCTTATCAAACCGGAGAATCAATTCAGTCTACTTGTGAAGAAACAATCGTTTAAGGAGATACCGATTGAAGAAGATGATATACAGGATGAACCAGTGGTGTTGGTTGAAGATGATGATTTAATGGTTGTCCCTGATGATGAAGTGAATGATAAAGAGGATGGGGATGAAGAGGATGAAGGTGATACGAAAGGTATAGATGATAAGAAATCTTTACATTATAAATACAGAAGAATACAGATCTTCAATAGTATAGCTCATAGTATTAAATTATTATTATTGAATCATAAAGTAGAGTAGAAGTTAATGAATAATGATGAAAACGTATATACAATTCTCTCTCACTGCAAATTTATTGGAGGCAAAAATAAAAATCGTAAAATTCAAAAATTATAACTGACCGTCAGATCAACTATTACTAACCACTATCTTACCGCAACACAGCTTTCAACATAACTATCAACATATCATACTCATCATCATGTCCATAATACTTAGATTCAGATCCAAAGATGGGATGTTTAGAATCTCATCGAATTTGAATGATGATTTCTTAATCACTCTTGAACAAGTATTACCTATATTACAACAGAAATCTCCATCCATAGACTTACAATCAATTTCTATAAGTGATAAACCTAATGTCAAGGGTCAATTGGCTAATTCATTATGTGGGAAGTCTATTCAAGAATTAGGATTTAAGAATGGGGATTTATTATTTGTTAGTTATGAATTGGAAGAAGGGGCAGGGGATTCATCTGAAGTTCCAGCTGGTGCTGCTTTACTGAGTTCTACAACTGCCGCCACCAATCATCACGTCTCCATCAATCCTATTCAAGTTCCTTCATCTGGACCATTAAAATCCATCAAACAATTACCTATTGATGACGAATTGGAGAAACAAGATGGATTAATTAAACGTCCTTTGACTAAATTTTGTCAACATGGTGTAAAAGGTATGTGTGAATATTGTTCACCATTACCACCTTGGGATAAAGATTATCGTAAAGAACAAAATATTAAACATATGTCATTTCATTCCTATTTAAAAGAAATTGATCAAACTAAAAATAATAAATTTAATAATAGTTCATATATCGCTCCATTAGATGAACCAAATTTTAAGATTAATTTACATTGTCCAAGTGGAACTCATAAACCTTATCCTAGAGGGATCTGTTCAAAATGTCAACCTAATGCCATCACATTACAATTACAAAAATTCAGAATGGTAGATCATGTCGAATTTTCCGATTCATTAATCATGAATCAATTCATTGATGTTTGGAGACATACTGGTGTTCAAAGATTTGGTTATTTATATGGTAGATATGAAGCATTTGATAAAGTTCCCTTGGGGATCAAAGCGGTGGTGGAAGCTATTTATGAACCTCCTCAACATGGTGAATTGGATGGAATTACTTTATTACCTTGGGATAATGAAGCTGAAGTTGATGCTATTGCTAATGAATTAGGGTTATATAAGGTTGGGATTACTTTCACTGATTTAACTGATAGTGGATTAAAAGATGGTACTGTACTTTGTAAAAGACATAAAGATTCATACTTTTTAAGTAATTTAGAAATCTTAATGGCTAGTAAATTTCAAATTAAATATCCTAATGCTACTAAATTCTCATCATCAGGTCAATTTTCATCTAAATTCGTTACATGTGTTATAAGTGGAGGATTACAAGGCCAAATTGAACCTCGATCATATCAAGTATCAATTGAAGGCGAAGCCTTAGTTAAAGCAGATATTATAACAGGATCAACTCAACCTTCACAAATTTATGTTAATGGAACTAATGAAACAAGATATGTTCCTGATATTCAATATCTGAAATTGAATGAATATAATTTAGAGATTAAAACTAATGCTAAACCTACATTCCCAGTTGAATTCTTATTAGTATCATTAACTGATTCCTTCCCATTAAATCCTCAACCATTATTTAATAATGAAGCAAATCTGATATTTGTCATTGAAAATAGAGAATTCATGGGTGATTTACAAAATTTACAAACTTGTTCTAAATATTTGAATTCGAATTTCAATCAATCATCCTTATTTAATTTCCATTTCTTAGTTTATTTATTCAAATTGAATATTTTAGGACCTCATGAATTGAAATTATTAATCAAAATCGTCAAAGATAAGGATGAATCTGATTATATTCAATTGATTGAAAGTCCAGGATGGATGACCTTACTTACTATAGTTGAACAAAGTAGTTAAATAGTATATATACCTCCCTCAATTTACGATATCTCATACCTGTTAACTCATAACTCTATGGCTATAATTAGAAGATCTTCTCGAATATTCTAGATACTTTCAGTGAACGCCCTTGCCGCAGTACTTAGCTGGATCATCTCACAAATTTGTTGAACTGAACACGCCAAATTTTAATTTTGTGGATTTTTCACTGAGAATTTTTTTTTTGGTTACCACCACCACCAACCATCATATGAACAATAAATAAATATTTATATATATTGATTCAATTGACTTTTACTTGTTTCTTTAGGAATTGTTAATTGTAAACAGTTATAGTAAGACTTATACCAATATAACATCACTATTTACAAATGTCTACTCCATTCGGTATTGATTTAGGTACTTCCAAATCAGTCATTTCAGCTGCCAGAAATGGTGGTATTGATGTCATTGTTAATGAAGTTTCCAACCGTGCTACTCCATCTTTAGTTGGGTTTGGTCCAAAGAATAGATTAATTGGAGAAAGTGCTAAGAATAAACAAATCTCCAATGTTAAAAATACCGTTGATAACATAAAGAGAATTGTTGGATTAGATTTTGATGATGCTGATTTAGAAATTGAAAAGAAATATTTCACTGTTCCTTTAGTTAAAGATGCCGCCACTGGGGGTGTTAGTGCTAAAGTCAGATTAGGTGGTGAAAAAAAGAATTCACTGCTACTCAATTATCTGCCATGTTAATTAATAAATTAAAAGATACTGCTCATAAAGAAACTAAAGCCAATCTTGAACAAGTTGCTCTTTCTGTTCCATTATGGTATAATGAAAAACAAAGACATGCTGCTGCTGATGCTTGTAGAATTGCTGGTTTAACCCCAGTTCAAATCGTCAATGAAGTCACTGCTGCTGCTGTTGGTTATGGTGTTTTCAAAGCTAATGAATTACCAGTTGATGAACCAAAAAAAATTGCTTTTATTGATATTGGTCATTCATCTTATCAAATTTCTATTGCTTCTGTTAAGAAAGGAGAATTAAAAATTTTAGGTTCTGCTTATGATAAACATTTTGGTGGTAGAGATTTCGATTATGCTATTGCTGAACATTTTGCTAAAGAATTTAAAGATAAAAAGAAGTTGGATGTTCATGAAAATCCAAAAGCTTTTTACAGAGTTTTAGTTGCTTCTGAAAAAGTTAAGAAAGTTTTATCAGCTAATTCTCAAGCTCCATTCAGTGTTGAATCTCTTATGGAAGATGTTGATTTCTCTTCTTCTTTAACCAGAGAAGAATTAGAAGCTTATGTTCAACCATTATTAAACAGAGTCAATGTTCCAATTGAAGCTGCTTTAAAAGATGCTGGTTTAACTATTGAAGATATTGATTCCGTTGAAGTTATTGGTGGTTGTACTAGAGTTCCATCCTTAAAACAAAAATTAACTGATATTTTCGGTAAACCATTATCTTTCACTTTAAATCAAGATGAAGCCATTGCTAGAGGTAATGCTTATATTTGTGCTGTTCATTCTCCAACTGTTAGAGTTAGACCATTCAAATTCAGTGATTATAATCAAGATGCCGTTACTTTTAGTTGGGATAAACAATTAGAAGATGATGAAAATGAAATAGATTTCCCAAGAGATCATAAAGTTCCAAAAGAATTTACTATTAAATTCCAAGCTAAACAAGATTTTGAAGCTTCTCTTAGATATACTGGATCACCAATTGATTCTAAACCAATTGCTAAATGGCAAGTTAAAGGAGTTGTACCAAAAGAAGGTGAATCTGAAATTGAAGTTAAATTATATGTTGGAGCCAATGCTTCAGGATGGTATACTCTTGATGCTGCTGAAACTAGAGAAGATACTTTAGTTAAAGTTTTAGTTGAACATGAAGATGAAGAAGATGCTGAACCAGAATATAAAGAAGAAAAGAAGAATGTTAAAAAGATGATTTACAAATCATTGTTTTATCATCATCTCAATTAACTGAATCAGTTAGAAATGAATTTATTGAAGTTGAAAATGCTTTAACTTCAACTGATAAATTAGTTGCTGATACTGAAGAAAGAAAAAATACTTTAGAAGAATATTTATGAATTAAGAGGTAAATTGGAAGATCAATATAAAGATTTTGCTTCTGAACAAGAAAAGGAAACTTTAACTGCTTTATTGTTAAAGACTGAAGATTGGTTATATGATGAAGGTGAAGATGCCAAGAAAGCTAAATATATTGCTAAATATGAAGAATTAGCTTCTAAAGGTAATATCATTAGAGGTCGTTACTTAGCTAAGGAACAAGAAAAGAAGAAGCCAATAGACAAAAGCAAGAAGCTGCCAACACTGCTGCTCTTCAAGAAAGACTTGCTGCTTCAAGAGGTCAAAAACCAACTGAAGAAAAAGCTGCTGAACCAGAAGATATTGAAATGGATTAGATTTTTCCATTCCAATAATAAAAACTATATCAACCGTTTATAGAATTTGTGATTGATTTTTTTCCAATAATATTCATGGTCATACCTGTATGGGTGTGATTAACGAACCAAAGTCATGTTAGATTAGGATTTAATAGTAATAATATATCTATCTTGATGATATTTACTTATACATAATATTAGCTTTCTCTCTATATATTTTAAATTTGTATGTATGTTTAATTATCTATTTATCATTGTTGTTATAAGGTAAGTAACAAGTGTAGATGTTTCCCTCATTGTGGTAGTACATGTTAACCACACATCTAGATCAATACAATTGTTGTAGTCTTATATAACCCCTGTCGGACCTTACCATACGTCATAACATCCATGCTCACTTAGATTAAGCTCGTTAACCTCCTCCACCCTCGCTCCCTCCCATACCGCAACAAAAAAAAAATTCCTTCAAATCAAAAAAATCTTTCATTCAGAAATAGAAGCAACATTTTTACAGCACAATTTCGATTACCAACCCTTCATCATCATCATTACTTTATAACCCTCACTTCCCCTTTGCTCATACCCTTATACGGGATCCTGTACCATAACAATACATCATCGATACAACCAGAGTGTATCGCGACCCCTTATCACTTTCAATCCAATCCCTAGATCGATCAAAAAGGGTTCAAATCGCATTCCCCTAACTCTCCCTATCTCAGTTTCATATTATTTAAAGAGATTGAAGAAGAGGTTCTTAACATTTGTACTATATTCCATATCTAATCTTCATATATTGTATTTAATCATCTACCACAAATCGGTAGTAGAATAGCATCTTTCATTCTTAAATCAGTATTAATTCTTAAAAAACGTTTTTCATTCCTTATCCTAATTGTCATATATTCGTTATTATTAATAAACCATATCACATAAATACGTTCAAATCATATAGTTCTTCATAATGCCTAATTCACATAAATCAAACTTATCCCTTGCTATAAAGCAAGCGGAGAAAGAAAGTAATTCCCTTTCTCCCAGACCTAATCCTCCCAGTCGCCAGAATTCAAATACAAATACTATAACACCAAATAATGAAAGTTTGGTCCCTTCACAATTATTACCTACTTCTTTGATGCAACATAGTGCTTCGACAGTATCAACTAGTGCTTCTCTGGCCAAACAATTCAAGCCAGAACCATTATCAATTCAAACAAAGCTTGATGATAATGATGATGATAATCAAAGTGCATATAGTTTCAAATCCAGTAATGAAGTATTACAAACCATATCAAATGCCAATAAGAAAGAAGCAGCTGAAAAGTTACAGGAAGGCACTGACATTGCTGGACCTGAACATCACATTGATGAAGAAGATGAAGATGATGATGACGAAGATGATGAAGATGAAGTTAATCCTGCTGATGAAGAAGATTTAAAGGATTACGTTCCAGGAGGTTATCACACTTGTTACATTGGAGAAGAATATAAAAATGGGAAATATACCCTTGTTAGAAAACTTGGTTGGGGACATTTTTCAACTGTTTGGTTAGCTAAAGATAATGATAAAAATTCTCACGTGGCGATGATGAAAATCGTACGAAGTGCTAAACATTATACGGAAACTGCCATCGATGAAATCAAATTATTAGATAAGGTCACTACTTCTGATTTAAATCATCCTGGTCATGAACATGTCATTCAATTATTAGATACATTTACTCATAAAGGTCCAAATGGTGTTCATGTCGTAATGGTTTTTGAAGTCTTAGGAGAAAATTTATTAGGTTTAATCAGAAGATATAAACATCGTGGGATTCCCATTGTGTTTGTTAAACAAATTGCTAAACAATTACTTTCAGCTCTTGATTTTTTACATCGAAAATGTGGTGTGATTCATACTGATTTAAAACCGGAAAATGTCTTGATAGAAATTGGTGATGTTGAACAAATTGTAAGAATGGTTGAACATGAAGAAAATCAAAAGAAAAAGAAATTAGAAAAGAAATTACAACGACAACAATCAAGAAAGCTTAATAATAGTAGTAATAGCAACCTTAACAATGCCAGTCAAAATAGTTCAAACGGTGTTACTCCAAGTACTTCAATTCAAAATACACCTCTGAATCCAAAATTAAATGACATGATAGTCCTGCAATCACAATCAGGTAAATCGGTCAATAGTAATAGTTCTCCATCATTAGGTAGAAATGGTCGTGGTTCAAGACGTCAAACTTTAATCACCGGATCTCAACCTTTACCTTCCCCATTAAGAACATTTAATAAATCATTCACCAATGTTTATGGCTTAGCTAGTTCTACTGCCAATACACCAGTTAAATCATTTATTGCTGGTGAATCCATCTCTGAATCACCTTACCCACATATAGAAGAAGATGAGGATGGAAGTATAAGTGCCAACATAAGTAGCAGTTCTCATCATCATCATCATACTAACGCAGCTCCTATACTACAAGATACAAGTATGACTAATGAACATACTTTAAATAGTTCACTTTCATCAATGTCAATATCAAATACTGCATCCAATGTTGATCCAGTACAAATCCCTAATGATGATATGAGAACCCTTCATCATCATCAAGATACTACAACAACCACCACCGATATCATTAATGAAGATGAATTGATTTCCGTCAAGATTGCCGATTTAGGTAATGCATGTTGGGTGAATCATCATTTCACTGATGAAATCCAAACTCGTCAATATAGATCCCCCGAAGTCTTATTAGGTTATCATTGGGGTGCATCGAGTGATCTTTGGAGTTTTGCATGTCTTGTATTTGAATTATTAACCGGTGATTATTTATTCGATCCTAGAGATGGAAAATCATATACGAAAGATGATGATCATATTGCTCAAATCATTGAATTAATCGGACCTATCCCAAGAGCGGTATTAAAAGAAAGTTATTATACTAGAGATTTCTTTAATTCTAGAGGTGAACTTCATAGAATTTTAAAATTAAAACCTTGGGGTCTTAAAGATGTTTTAATGGAAAAATATAAATTTTCCATGCCGGATGCTTTGGAAATTGCTGATTTCTTAGTCCCCATGTTAAACATTCAACCTGAATTAAGAGCAGATGCTGGTGGGATGGTGAATCATCCATGTGTTAAGTGATGCATTAGGTTTAGAAAATGTTGTGCTTGAAAGACCTGTGGGTGGATCCGGTGAAGATATTGTAGGTTGGTCTAAAGAAGTTAGTAATCAACCTCCACCTCAATCTCAACCACCGGCTCAAAATAGATATTATTATAATCCTAATGATAGTACAAAGCATCATCATACTCATAATCATGATCATGAAAATAAAAACAACTAATTAATGAATGAAATTATTATCAGTTATATATATTGTCTTCTATATATGTTCAAAATATATAAAACTATAATCTATCATTTAAAATCTTTAAGAATTGAACTTTATCATATTTGATATACTTAGTTTTATTCTTAGCAAAATCAGTATTAATAAAACTATCATAAACTTTAAAATAAGTATTACTGACTAATTTTTTAATTTCATTACCTAAATAATTTCTTAATTGAGGATCAGTAATATTAAATTTCTCATAATTCTTTAATGCTTCTTCAAAGGCTTCATTGAAATGTTTAAACATATCCTTAACCATATCTTTTTCTTTACTAGTTAAATGTTTACCGATATTGGCTGTAGATGCAATGGATGAAGTAGCAGTACTTGATCTTGGAGAAGAAGTACCAGCATTAGAAGTCATGTTATGAGCTTGACTTTTGGTGATGGTATTCATTTCATTGATTAATAAGAATGAAGCTGTATTCCAATCTTCAAGGACAAATTTAACAAATCTCTTTTTTAATTTTTCTAATCTTTCTAATCCTAAACTTCCTAATGCAGAATGTAATGAAGGAGCATGTCCTATAATGGTTTCAATAATATCTAAATATTTCAATAATGAGAAACCTTCAGATGATGATTTTTTAGAATGAATACTGGCCGAACTACTATTGGATGGTTGTGACATTCTAATTTCAATATCGATAATGATAGCATTGATCATATCGGATAATAAAGATGTTAATAAATATTCAGGACTATTATCATTGGTAATATTTGGAATCAGCGAATGACAAACACTAATGAATTGAAATGGGGGACTTTTCGTTACCCAATCACCTAATTTACATTGTGATACCAATGCTAATAATGAAGTTTTATATTCGGAGATTTTTCTTACTCTTGACATTAATTCCACCACAACCGCTTCACTTTGTACATTGGTTGATAATATTTTATAGTCGATTAACTTGAAGTATTCAAGGAACATGACATGGTATTGGATCATGAATGCATTTAATTTATATTCATAAGTCTCAAGGGCTAAATCTCCCACTATCAACTTCAAACTTGTTTTCAATCTTAATAAATGTTCAAGAATTTCAAATAATAAAGTATCATTATTAAGTAATTTTGTGGGATTTTAAGATTAAAAAATTGAGTTAATAAGATTAAATATGAATTATTAACAAGTTCATCTAACGATTTTTCCGTTAAACTTATTAAATTATCACCTGGAAGTTCCAATTCATACAGTAATTTAGTTTCATTATCAATCATACTTATAAACCCATCCACAAATACGGCTATACCATTACTACCCTTTTCATAAGGTACATTATCCGGTCTATCTTGTGGTTCACTCGCATTCTTTAACGATCGTAAACTTTCCACTACTATTGCACTTCGAATTTTACTATATGAAATATGTTGAACTGAATCTTGTTCTTTATGATATAATGCCATGATACTTTTTATATCTTGAATTTTAGAAGGACTACTTAATAACACATCTGATCCTTGATTTAATAATCCTTGATAATAATTTTGTAATTTTAAATCAGCTTTATCAATAGTATTAGTGAAATTATTAATGATACCTCTAAATCGTTTAAATTTGCCTTGTAATTTAGCTAATAAAGACTTTGATTTATATAATGTGTCAACATAACTTTTCAAGCCAATATGTTCAATTGATTGACTTAGGATACTTTCATAGTTATTAATGATCTTAGCACTTTCACTTACTTCTGTTAATATGCTTAAACCACGATCCACTTGGTTTTTATTATTAGTTAATTTATTAACATCTTGTAAGATTGGTTTTATATTATTGGATGCATTGATGGATTTGGTGGATATGGTATGAAGTGATTTGGAAATGGATACAAATAAGTCTTTTGATTTGTTCAAGTTCTGATTTAGAACTGCCACATCAGCTTCATCTATATCTATATTGAATGACATTGTCGTAGACGTATGACTATGCTGTCAATCTAAGTATTGAGGGTGTCTTATAGGGAAACAATTAATTTAGGAATGAAAGGAAGGATCTGCAATAATCGACACCAGTGATACTTTGAATATACGATCTTCCTTATGATGTCAACACGTTTAACTTTGGTTGATTGATTAATGGGATCATCAATTGATCATGTAGAATCTTCACCTCCTCTCCATGATTGTTTTTGATTCTGCTTGAAAACTCTGGTCGTGCGAAATATTCAAAATTGTATTATTATATACAGGTTGTACTATATAAGTAGACTAATTAACTTATAAATATCCACTATTAAGGACCCTATACATTTAAATACCATAAGAGTCATAAAGAGACAAATGGCATAGTTAATGGCGTAGCCAGTACAAACCTTTACCTGAATATCATGATCTATATTTTCAGTCCTGTTGATTATTAAAGCATTTAAAGTTTTATGAGACTCATGGTTTTTACGAGTAAAGTTTAGCTTACTACGAGAACCCTTATGACGAAGCTTCAATGTCAGCTTATGGATTAATCCAACCAGAAATTATTGCATATATTGGTGTAAGTTGGTGTATTTAGAGAAATATGTCTCTTTGAATACACATAAAGCAAACGTATACTCTTATTTATCCATTAAATTGATATTATAATTACCACGACAAGATAGTGTTCCGCCAAGCAGAACATTTTACGCTAAACTTTGTAAATTTCCAGGGGTATAATTATATATTAAATGCTTTACAAAAGACAATTGTTACTAGATAATACACACTTACTTTCTTTGTTGTAATTCAATCAATGGTATCTACTTTTGTCAAACTTTTCGAATATATTTCATTAGTACACCAAAGGATTGAATAAAATGATTTAGGACTAATATAATTATTGATAATTGAATCATATTAAC